GACAGCAACCAGTCTGGTTTCAGAAGTGGACATTCAACCGAGACTGCCTTGCTCTCAGTTGTTGAAGCCCTAAGACTGGCAAGAGCAGATTCCAAATCTTCGATACTTATCTTGCTGGATCTGTCCGCTGCTTTTGACATGGTTAACCACCAGATCCTCCTGTTAACCCTATTGGCAAAGGGCATCTCAGGAACCACACTCCAGTGGTTTGAGTCTTATCTCTCAGATAGGTCCTTCAAGATATCTTGGAGAAGTGAGGTGTCCAAGTCACAACATCTAACTACTGGGGTGCCTCAGGGCTCAGTTCTTGGACCACTGCTCTTCTCTGTCTACATGGCATCACTAGGTTCTGTCATTCAGAAACATGGCTTTTCATATCACTGCTATGCTGATGACACTCAACTCTACCTCTCATTCCATCCTGATGAGTCGACGATAGCTGCTCGCATCTCAGATTGTCTAACAGACATTTCTTGCTGGATGATGGACCATCACCTTCAACTCAACCTGGCTAAGACAGAACTGCTTGTGGTTTCAACAAACCTCGTTTCATCACAATTTCACCATCCAGTTAGGCACATCAACCATAACTCCTTCAAAAACAGCCAGAAACCTTGGAGTTATGATTGATGATCAGCTGGCTTTCTCTGACCACATTGCTAAAACTGTCCGGTCCTGCAGATTTGCTTTATTCAACATCATGATTGCCGGATCGGCTTTCATTGTGGACGAAGCGGAGTCCAGTCCGAGGTTGTGAAAGTGAAACTACTTTGTTTGGCCTTCCAAAAGAGGACACGACTAGAAATCAGTGGTTAAGTTGTATTTACAACACTGTTCCAGAACAGTACAACCCAAATATTCAGTTGTGTGCAGCACATTTTATGGAGGACGGTTTCCTGATCTTGGGAGAGTAGAATACAATGCCAGCTGTTCTGACTCACAGACTGTAAGTACGTTTTCATATTTAAAGAATTTGCCACTGATGATTAAAATGTGAGTTTTGAGCAGTGTAGAGTAGCGCTTGTTGTTTGTAATTTCTCCGATCACAAATGCAGACATGGTTTTATTTTTACGCGACACGATGTAACGCAACGCGTAAAAAGACAGTATAAGTCATTATAATCCGTAATTATGTCCCCACTGGATGCAACAAATGCCTCGTTTATAATGGGTTTGAATTTTTTTTGTTTCATCGCTCCGGCCGGGACACGGCATCACAGTATGGTAAGGGGCATAACATTTCCGTCGCACGCTTGAGGTATTCGGCCAATCACAACACACTGGATAGCTGGCCAATAAGAGCACACCTCGCTTTTCAGACCGATGAGCTTTGTAAAAATCGACGCGTTTCAGAAAGGCGGGGCATAGAGGAGAAAAAATAACGTACAGTATGTGGAAAATAATGTGTTTTTTTAACCTTAAACCGCATAAACACATTTCATTACACCAAATAATGTTCTTTTTAGCAACATCATATGACCCCTTTAATTTTTAACGAGCCGAAAAGAATGCACGTCAGACCTCTGTTCATCAGTTTGCACTGGCTACCAATAGCTGCTCGCATAAAATTCAAGGCATTAATGTTTGCCTACAAAACCACCACTGACTCTACACCCCTTTACCTAAATTCATTACTTCAGACTTATGTGCCCTCTAGAAGCTTGCGTTCTGCAAGTGAACGGTGCTTTATTATGCCATCCCAAAGAGGCACAAAATCACTTTCTCTCTTTAAATGTTCTCTCCTGGTGGAATGACCTGCCCAACTCAGTCCGAGCAGCTGAGTCCTTAGCCATTTTCAAGAATCGGCTAAAAACACATCTCTTCCATCTTTATTTGACCCTCTAACTCTAGCACTCTCTATTCTAATTCTATTCTTTATAAGAAAAAAAACTTGCCACTTGCACTCTATTTATTTACTTATGGCTTGTTTTCTTTAAAAAAAAAAAAAGAAAGAAAGAAAAACTAGCACTTGCTTCTCTAATCGTTTTGCATTCTATTTATTTGTTTTCTTTTTATTTATTATGAGTCCTTAGCCATTTTCAAGAATCGGCTAAAAACACATCTCTTCCATCTTTATTTGACCCTCTAACTCTAGCACTCTCTATTCTAATTCTATTCTTTATAAGAAAAAAAACTTGCCACTTGCACTCTATTTATTTACTTATGGCTTGTTTTCTTTAAAAAAAAAAAAAGAAAGAAAGAAAAACTAGCACTTGCTTCTCTAATCGTTTTGCATTCTATTTATTTGTTTTCTTTTTATTTATTATACAATTATAATTCTGACTTTCTGACTTCTGATTAACAAAAAAAAAAGGCCTCTAACACAAGCTTGCTCTATTCTTTTTCTATTCTATCTGTTTTCTTTTTATTTATTATATGATTAAAAAAAAAACTTGCTAAGTGAAATGCATTAAGCTAACTGAGACTTGTTATAGCACTCGCATATCGTTCTGATTAACAAAAAAAAAGGCCTCTAACACAAGCTTGCTCTATTCTTTTTCTATTCTATCTGTTTTCTTTTTATTTATTATATGATTAAAAAAAAAACTTGCTACGTGTAATGCATTAAGCTAACTGAGACTTGTTATAGCACTCGCATATCGTTGCTCTTTTGTTGAGTTTGATTGCTTCTATTGTCCTCATTTGTAAGTCGCTTTGGATAAAAGCGTCTTCTAAATGTTTAAATGTAAATAAATAATACAAAAATAGAAAGAGAGAATGGGGGTTAAAAACGAGAGATACTGAAAATTTAAGAGATATAGTGTTTTTACTTTTATTCCTATCTTTATTTCAATGCTATCCATTTAATCTTTCTTCAATAACTGCATATATTGTCTTTTCTTATTTCCACAATTTAAGCATTTCTTTTTGTATTTTTAAAAGCAAATTTGGTTATTTTTCACAGAAATAATTTAAAACACAAAAATAATCAAGGAAGTGGTTTGGAACGACATGAGAGAAAGAAACTGATGACAAATTTTTATCTTTGGGTAAACTATCCCTTTAAATGGGATATTTTGGATAAATGGGATATTTGTCATGTCTGACAAACACTATCAAGCTGTGCAAGTTATGTGCCAAATTGTAACATTTTGGGGTGTATTCATATACCTGCAAATTGCAGTGTTGACATAATTTTGTAGGCCAACCCAGAATTAGCATCTCAATCTGGTTTCCTCAACAAAACCCCAATTTTGAAGCCTAGATGCAATCTCCAGAAGTAAAAAGTTAAATGCAGGATATAAACAAACTACACCATAGTCGCAAGACTTCACCGTCACTCGCCATTAAACATTAATTTTGTTTGGAATGATTATATTTAATGTCTCTGACAATCTTTTCAGTCCCATTTAGCCACTTTATAGCAACAGTTTTTTCAAGACAAGTAAAAGCTTTGAAAAAACACAAGGGCATGTATTGATGTATTGTATGCCATAGAGTAAAACATCAAAATATCTTGAGCTTATGTAAACCACAGACCTTATTTCAGGCGTTTAACCAAAAACCTATTGGCTTCGAGACGACAGAACTGCAAGCGCTAAGATGCAACTTCGTTTCCGGGTTTTGACCTACAAAAACATCCCTGCACCCCACTCAAAGCTTATTAAAAGTTAAACAGTCATGCTATAGATGTAAACTGTGTCAGTGTTTTGAGGACAGTTGTCTTGAGTTGAGTCAGGTGCTGCAGCAGGTGTGCAGGTGACAGAAGGAAGTGGGATGGAGGGGTGACATATCAACTCCCACATGAAGTCTGAACACAGTAACTCGGGTAATTCAGCCCCCAACAGAGTATGTGAGCGGAGTGGAGCGGCAACAATTTTCCCTCCACGCTCCAAGCATTCAATAATCACTCTGCTCCGCTCCGGGTTCACCATTTCCCGCTCCCGCTCCACTGATCAGAAGCAATGCTCCGCGGCTAAATTATTTCACTATGCTTGAAAAATCAAAGTTCTGTTCAGAAATTATATTAAACGAAAAATAAATGCATAATACTAAAAGAATAATTTTAACATGGTTTATTGGAACTACAATTAGCCCAAGTCCATATTAAATGACTGCTTAACTCCTTTAGCTTACTTGTCTGTGCAACATCTCTCTATTATGACGAAGCTGAGGGTAGTTACTTCAGAAACAGAAAGAATATGCTGTAACTTTTCCATTTTTAAGCCGATAAATCACAGGACAGCGTTGACCAAATTTTCTTTATTCCTGAATGTATGAGCGCGATCTGTACGTTATGTGCGAGCTTGTGTGTTCTGTCCGTGTCCAGCAATGTAGCAGCACATTAGTTTAGAGCGGAGATTAACAAACTGTACAATTTACAACATGCTTTAACCTCCCGCACTCGTCCATCGCCATTTTAACCTTCATATGTGATCCACATATCTGACAAGTTAACTAATTATGTTTAATGCGTGAGTTGGCATAATTTGAAATTGTGCTCGTGACGGAGCGGTAGTGGAGCGTTCTCGGAGCGAGTGAAAGCCTCAATGCTCTGACTTTCAAAAAATCCGCTCCTAGCTCCAGGCAAAATCACGCCGCTCCACTCCTCGCTCCGCTCACATACTCTGGCCCCCAACACACCAACACAGAATCACCATGTCCACCTGCACTGGACTAACCGCAGAGACAGTGATAAATAGATTCTGTGGCTGGGCTGAGAGCTGAAAAGGGATGTATGGAAGAGCGTGAAGATTCGTCTACAACAGGTTGATGAACTGAGAAATTAAATTTTCCTTCATCTTTTGAACGTAAGAGTTAATTGTACTACAAAAACATTGTGTGTAAGTTTCATAACTTAAAACTTTCACGTTAGTCCAAAAACAGCCTTTGTTGAAACCAAGCTGCTAAAACGGCGGTTCGTTTCATATTTCATCTCAATATGATGTCATAGTGTGACAAAAGATCAACGCCTACTTCTACATCGTCTCTTTAGCCCCGCCCACCCATTCATGCACGTAGGAGTAGGCGAGTAAATATGAAAGACAGGATTACTCAAGCAAGAAAATGATAGAGATTCATCCAAGGATTATGTACAGCTAGCTAATAAGAGGTCTGTATAAAAGGTGTTTATTGTGTTTGAAATGGTTTCGCACTTGGCATTGCTCAAAGAATCTGGTAATGTCCCAACTCACAAGTGTGAGTAACAATGCTTTTGCCATGTGTCACTATTGCTTTGTCTGTTACAGATTGTTTGATATGTATAGAGTATTTATACATTTTTAACCACAATGACACATACTGTTTTCAAAGAACATCACAGCAATGTCCATCTATTATTTTAATAAGCAAAATTGTTAGCCAATCATGGCTGTCAGCTTTCACGTCCAAGTCTTAAATGCAGCTTCCCTATCATGCGTTTCTAAGAGAAAATAGCCTATTCATTTTAAATTATCCACCTTATTCTTCCGGTAAAAATGGGTCTTAAAATGAAAAAAATTTTATGGGTCTTGCTTCCAGTCTTATTCACTTCCAGCTATTTTAGCTGTACAAAACCGCTCGTTTTGCTGCTTGATATTGCAAACTGGTGTCTTACCATGTTATTTTAATGTATTATCTTAATTATGAACACACTGGTTTGTAGTGCAAACAGTTTTACCGTTTACTGCACGTTGTTATTCTTCTCGTTTTTTCCCTACAGCGGCTAATGAACCAGAAATCTCGCCCATAGGCTTACTTCTGCGTTGAAAAATAAGGTGTATAGTGTTTTTTGATGTACAATTCTTGCTAACATTATAAGTGGACCTTTATAAGAGAACATTACAAAATAAAAAAAGAATGCAGTTCATAACCCTTTATAAAGTATTAGGACAAGGAATGCAGATGGTTTCGTGACAGAGGTGAAGAGGAAGAGAATGATGTGTAGAAGGTGAGGTCCCACCTGTTGGGAGGAGGTGACGGCACTCTTCAGGGTCTCTAGCTCAGATCTGCTGGACATGAGCTCGGCTTGTAGAGCTTGAAGCTGCTCTAACTGAGCCTTCTCCTACTCATGCACATACAGGAGGATAGGGACGTGTAAGACAAGCAAACTACGGATACATCAGGCAGAGGGAGTGTGTGTGTGTGTGTGTGTGTCCAACCTCCTGACTGGCAGTATCCTGAGCAGCTTTCACTCTGTCCTGCATCTCTTTTTTCACATTCTCAACCTCATCCTGGGCGGCACGGGCAACCGTCATCTGACGCGTCACCTCAGCATTCTGTGAAACACATAGACATGTACAGTTTAGCACAGAGCCCAGACTCTTGGCTGACCCAGTTCTTTTCCCAAGGACATGGCACCCACTGTCAGATGTCTCAGTGGTGGGATCAGAGCATGCTGCTGAATGGGAACGAGTGTGATAACAGCCTTTAAGCGTGGCAGAGGAACAAGTTTCATCTGTGCAAGTAATGGAGTAGAGTCTGCAGGGAAAAAAGTCTGGGGAAGGAGCTAAACCACCTGCAGGTTTACTGACAGGCCTGACACTGGAGCTCAAGTCAGCAGTATGTAGTGTGCACACCGTGTCTCTGCAGTATGCAAATTCACCATCTACTATCTACACAGAAACACAGAATACTGACTGCATTTGCCAAAACAAGCATGCTGAGTGAGATATTGTATCCCACAACCCAATGTGCTTGACCTTTCATTTTCAGTGTGAAGGAAATGTGAAAAATTTTATGAAAAATATTAAATTATATATTTTTATTTTTATTTTTATTTGGCAATGATGCATTAAATTGATGAAAAGTGACAGTAAAGACGTTTATATAATGTTACAAAAAAACTATTTCAAGTAAATGCTGTTCTTTTGAATTTTCTGTTAATTAACTAAAGAATTAACAGAACAGGGGGAAAAAACTAGTAAGTATATAATAACTTATTTCCACAAAAATATTAAGTAGCACAACTGCTTTCACCATTGATGTTGTTTGAGCAGCAAATCAGCATATTAGAATGATTTCTGAAGCATCATGTGACTTTGAAGACTGGAGTAATGATGCTGAAAATGCAGCCTTGAATCACAGGAATAAATGACATCTAACAGATTACAAAATAAAAAACAGTTATTTTAAATTGTAATAATATTTCACAATATTACCATTTTATTCTGTATTTATGATCAAATAAATACAGCATTTGTGAGCATGAGAGACTTGTTTCAAACGCTTATTGACCCCAATTTGAACAGTAGGGTCATTTCCGTGTCAAATCAACCAAATTTCAGAAAGGGCCCTGGCTCAAATTTTGGATTTTGCTAATGTTTTTTTTTTTCTGAAGAAAGATAAACATGAATAGTGATGAAAGCAAAAATATTTAATTAAATTAAAATTACAGGGGGGCAAAAATGACTTCAGAAAGATGGCAGCATCATAATGTTACTTTTACTCAGAGATTGGTAGGTCTATTAGTAAAACCTGTTGACTTTAGCAATCTTTATTGCATTATGTGCCAATGGTAACCATTAAAAAAAATGGGGAAACGGCACACAATTTTTTCCTCCAATTTTCATGCCTATAACTCAAGTAGTATAAAATATATCACAATATGATTTTAGATTCTAGTTCTTAATAAACTTTTCTTTTGGAATCTTCATTTTCAAGGCCCTGTATCATTCAGTCCCAGAGATATGGGATTTTCATACTTATTGTATTTAAATGGGAATGTCTGAAGAATAAGTAATGCTGAAACTAGAAATGTATCTTGTTTTCCTCTATCAAAACAACTGTGTAGGACATACCCGTTTGGGTGTCATAAATATAATTTTTTCCAAAATGTAGGTGTCTGTAACTCAAGAAGTATTACAGTTATCTTAATATGATTTTAGATTCTGGTTCCTAAGAAACTTTGCTTTTGGAATCTTAATTTTTAAGGCCCTGTATGGTTTAATCCTAGAGCTATTGAGATCCCAGTGAAGCTCCATTGCCAAATTGTTGTATCCTAACCATTTTCAATGGTCAAAAACCAAATGTGGTTTTGTGCTTATCTAGTCATCACTGTTAACACAATCAAATATGTAAATAATAACAGTAACCCAGGGTTTAAGAATGTACAGTGTGATTATGAATGACCAGGATTAATTGTTAACTCTAAATTCTAATATCTATGGAACCGAACCATATAGGACAGTGTTCCTGGAGGGCCACAGCTCTGCAGAGTTTAGCTCCAACCCTAATCAAACACACCTGATCCAGCTAATCAAGGTCTTCAGGATTACTAGAAACCTCCAAGCAGCAGTGGTTTGGAGCTGGTTGGAGCTAAACACTGCAGAGCTGTGGCCCTCCAGGAATTGAGTTTGAGACCACTGATATAAGGCCTTAAAAATGAAGATGCCAAAAGGAAAAGACCTAATATCTAAAAGGACATTAAGATATTTTTAATGCTTCTTGAGTTACAGGCATGCAACCTTTGAAGAAAAAAATGGCTCTTTCGCCATTCTTGAATGGTCATCATTGGCACATTATGCAACAAAGATTGCAACAGATTTGACTAATATTATGATGCTGTCATTTTTACCCTCTTGTAATTACCCTCATTTTGACCCCCCCCCCCCCCTCTCTACAAAAAAAAAGTGGATTACTCCGTAAATATTCATACACAACATTTAATATTTCGGCTTTCATCACTATACATGTTTATCTTTCTTCAGAAAAATATTAGCAAAATCAAAAATTTGAGCCGAGGACCTCTGGTTTAGTTGACACGGAATGACCCAGTAGCGTCTATATTAAACAGCATTAAACGTTTTAATGCATTAATAATTGCATACATTAACGTGATCATTTGCCCAATAAAAATACACATTTATTCATATACAGGCAGTGTGTTAACTAAATGGAGTCATCAATTTACCTTCCTCAGCAGGTCAGCGTGGCTCTGGACCAGCTCTGTGTATTTCTCCTTTAACTTGGTGTAGCGTTGCTCATTAGCTTGTGCTTTTCCTACAAAAAAACACAAATACACAACCAAAATATCAACATTAAGTATCAAAAACACAAACCTTGACATGCCTCAGACCTTCCTCTCTGCATCACAGAACAGTTAGCACCACTGAGATCCTCAACACAGGCCTGCAAGCTGGTGAATTGGACTGTGGACTATATGGTTTATTAGTGTTTGATTGGAGACTGCAGTAAACTAGAGTCCCTTCTGGCTGTGTTCCTCAGCTCCAGAGAGGAAACAGACTGTCTAATGAATATGCACTGCTGTCCTGCATCTGTACCGACTGGTTACTATAGTATAGTACATAAAAATACTATAGTCAATGCCACCAGTAACTGTTTGATTACCAACATTTTTTTTTAAATATAATCTTTTGTGTTCAGCAGATAAAAGAAACGTATAGAGGAAACTATCCCTTTAATATCATGTAACACTTTATTTAGAATATAATGATTGCTGATGTTCCAAAAAAAGCAACAGTTTGAGGTGAACCACTGGGTGTAAATAAATCAAAAAGGAAGGAACGCCAGTTTTTTTTTTTTTATTTATGAAAGAGGAACAGAGCAATGGTTTGTCTTAAAGGCCTAATTTACAGCTCAGTTCAAGTTCTCTAAATATTAAAGGGGTCATTGGATGCAAAATTCACTTTTGTGTTTGTTTGAACATAAATGCGTGTAAAAAGTGTGTGTAAACATCCATTCTATAATGATAAAAATCTTTTAAAAAATTGTTTTTTTTAAATCCCTATTTTAAAATCCCCTTTCTCAAATCAGGCTGTTCTGAGACTCCTGTCAGAATGACGTAGTTCTGCACAGGCCACTCCCACGGCAGTTGATTGACAAAGCCGTCTTACCTTAGACCTGCCCTGAGTGAGCTGTCATCAGTCCACCATTGTGTCTACTCTGGTGCAGGGGAAGACAAGAATGTCTCCGATTAAGCGATTGAGGTGTTTTGTTGTTGGATATAATTATGACAACTCTATAGGATCCAACAGTAATGTTGCAACACACAAGTGTGAGTAACTGTTTTTTTTATGTGATCACTATTGTTTTGTCTGTTAAACTGATCGTTTGTTATGTACTGAGCATTTATGCGTTTTTACCCTAAATCACAGCAGCACCCATCTATGAATAATGTAAGCCGGCAAACATACACAACTGTTAGCCAATAATAGCAGTGGACCTCAGAGAATAGTACAAAATAATAAAAAAGGCAGTTCATGACCAGGGTCATAACAGGGTCGTGAAAATTTTAAGTGCCCCTATTATGCCATTTTTAAGGTTGCTACTATTGTTTTATGAGTCTCCTAAAACAGGTTTGCATGCATGCAAGGTCAAAAAACACTTTAGTTTTCTCAAAAAAATTGATTTAATTTGACCTAATTTCTAAATGATTCGTAAACGATTCGTGCGAAGCAGTTCAAAGAATCAGTCTCTCTAAACCCCTCCTTTCTGTGAGCCCTCACTGCTATGATTGGTCAGATGGCGCAGTCCTTTGTGATTGGTCGTAAGAGCCATTGCGAGATTGGCTCTGGATTGGTCTACCGTGTACAGCGCGTGTAGGAAACGAAACGCCCATTGCCATGATGGAATGACAGCCCTGGAGACTTGTCAAAACATATAAAAGATGGTATTGATTGTACCTTACCAATTCGAGCCCGGAGTCTGATGATGAAACGGTTGAACTGGCTGATCGACAAGAGACTGATTCGCAAGCACGACTGGAGCAGGACATTTCTCAGTGGTAAGTGTCAAGTGTTAACAAGTTTGTGGTAATTATAAGATGTGATAAAACAAATTTACTCTTACAGTTTAGGATACTGCGTCTTCTCAACATGATGTTAACCACACAGAAATGTTACTGTTTGTGGGCAAGCAAGTTGGCGACGTAGAACGTGGGCAGACATTATGCAAATGTGTTACTTTGTGACGTAGAGCCGTAACAGAATAAGATTCGAATTCCTGACGATTCGTTTAGGCGATTGCGAGCAGCAGTTGTTGCTGCTAAGGGTGACCCTACCAGTTATTAGGTTTAGGGGGCAAACACTTTTTCACACAGGGCCATGTAGTTTTGGATTTTGTTTTCCCTTAATAATAAAAACCTTCATTTAAAAACTGCATGTTGTGTTCACTTGTGTTATCTTTTACTAATATTTAACTTTGTTTGATGATCTGAAACATTAAAGTGCGACAAACATGCAAAAAATTAAGAAATCAGGAAGGGGGCCAACACTTTTTCACACCACTGTACATGACACACTGCATGAAAGGTAATATTCGAAAAAGGCATATCGGGGCACTTTAATTCAATATTTGAAATAAAAAAAGAAATTCAGTGTATTGTATTGAAAATTGTTCCAACAATAAACTCTTACTCTCGATTTCGCTCAGGCTGCGCTGCTCTTTCTCTGTGTCCTCTTTGACCCTGCGCAGGTCGTCTAGCTCCACCCTCAGGAACTCGCTCTCACCCAATGCCTGCTGCTTCAGGTGAGTCTGCTCTGCAAGCTCCGCCTCCAGCTCGTTCACACGCCCTCGTAGTGCTTGACAAAGACGGCCACTCTGAGAAAGACCAAAAGAATGATTAGTGTCACTTTTATTTTCACTTCTCTTCCACTGTACATGACCCTTCAAAAGTCAAATGTCTTATGCTCATCAAGACTGCATTTATTTGATCAAAAATATAGTAATCACAGTAATATTGTGAAATATGTTTACAATTTAAAATAACTATTTTCTATTGTAATTTATTTTAAAATATAATTTATTCCCGTGATGGCCAAGCTGAATTTTCAGCATTATTACTCCAGTCTTCTGGAGTCTTCTAATATGCTGAATAGATGTTCAAGAAACATTTCTGATTCTTATCAATGTGGAAAACAGTTGTTCTGCTTAATATTTTTGTGGAAACCATGACACTTTCTTAAAACATTTTTTTTAAAGAAGAACATTTATTTGAAATAGAACTCCTTTGTAACATTACAGATGTATTTACAATTACTTTTGATCAATTTAATGCATCCTTACTGAATAAAAATATGAATTTCTTAAAAAAAACACATATTACTGACTCCAAACTTTTAAGTGGTAGCTTATCAAATTTGATCTCCTCTCATCTCCCACTCTTTACCTCCAATCTGAAGGACTCCAGCTCCTCCTTCAGGGCCTGTAGCTCTGCTGTGAGCTGCTCAATCAAACGGTCTCTGAGATGAGAGATACATGTTCATGAGTCCTATGTTATAATATGTTCTAATAAACGCAAAGAGTTTCCTATAACTTATTAATTATATTCTCCAACAGTATTTCCAAGACTTACTTCTCATCTTTACGCATGCCGTTCTGACTGTTGAAGTTAAACGGGTCTGTAGCAGCTGAGGTGCCAAAGAGGTCGTCAAATTTGCTGTCCACAGTGCTCTAATGGAGAGAAAAAAATCTGTCTTTAGAAACTCAAGTTAAAAGGAAAGTATACAGAGAGTTTTGGATAGTGAGAGTGTGTGTGTTACCGGTAAAGGTGGGATGTCCGTGTCCACCAGGTCTTCTGTCTCTGCTACATGTTCACTCTCAGGGGACGAAGACTCCACCGGAATCACCACCACTGGACTGATGTGTTCGGAGAGGGCTGACGCCCGCAGGAAGTTTGGTGGATTCTGAAGAGAAATGTGAAGAAAGGAAACTACTGGAATGTGTTTTCAAACCGTTTTTCCCAAAACCCTTCCTTACTGGTTGAGAAAACAGACAACACCACCCTAGTCTCATGCCATTGGTTGAGCTGAAGTCACTATGTTGTGATCATGAAGCTCAAACAAATGAAAAAGTAGCTCACTTTGCCTTTCATTTTAATTTAAAATGACATGCAAATTGAAGGAAAATATGTTGTTATAGGGCAGCCTGCAGTATCTTCATGGAGTCCAGCTGAAAATCCTGACGCTAGAAAACTAAGCAGGCAGATATGTAAATGAGTTACATAATTTCTTTCCACTAGCTGTATTTTTGGACTCAGGTCAGGCAGGAATCTGTTTGGTATGCAGGAGTCTCACCTCAGGAAGTTGTGGGATCTGAATCAGTCTCTTGAAATACTGCAGGTTACTGGAGCGATAGAACAGACTCTTCAGCCTGGAGAGAGAGAAACGGAGTGAAAGGAAAATATTGAAAGAGTGAGAAATGACAAAAGAATAAAATAGTGGCAGTCTGTGTAACTCATCATGGTAGCTGTTCTGACTGGATAGTGACTGACAGACTCACTTCTTAAACTGCTCCTGGAAGCGATCCCTGTGGCCCTGCAGAGTATCTGCCGGCAGACCTGGAAGACAAGAGTGCACAAGACTGAGAGCGTGCACTATTTTACATTCTATTTTGATTACATTTTGTTATAATAGCCAAAGGAACAACACCAAATACAAAACAAATACAACTTCCCTACTACAATATACAAGTATAGTAAGAAATAAATAAATAAAAACTAAGTTCAGAGTGTGGTCACATTGCAAAATATCCGACCTGTATCTGATTAAGCATTACATATGTTAGGCTATGTTCACACTGCAGGAAAATGTGGCCCAAATCAGATTTTTTTGCTCATATGCAACTCAAATCGTTTAGCTTCATGACAGTGTGAACAGCACAATCCACATTGAACTAGGGCTGTGCGATTAATCGAAATCGAATCGAAATCACGATTTGAGACGTTGCGATTTCCTAATCGCAAAGCCTGCAATGTGAACGCGAACTCTGTTCCAGAGCATATGCATGACTGCCAGCCTTGAGTTGCAATCTTACTTGCCCTGGGCAAGAGTGAGCGCACCTCCGTTCTCCCCAATCAGCACTGCTTTAGTCAACTGCGTAAACACCCACCATTTAAAAAAATGTAAAAACGGTACGCGGGACGGGAGAGAGACAGAGTGGGATTATGGCGTCTACTGGGTCAGATCGATAGTTAGGCAAATTAAAACTAAAGAAAACCGTATGCAACTTAAGCTTCGAAATGACAGACAACAAACAAAAAAGGTAATTTGCAAGAGCTGCGTCACAGCGCATATCAAGAGCTCCCTTATCGGTTCTGTTTTCAGTACTGGAGAATAAAAGATACATTCTTAGATGTTTTTGTTAGTACGTGAACGTTATCTTACACATTTTATCTCCCCAACAGATTAATTTGAAATAAGTTTATAATGCATGTTGGCTATTCCCAATTCAGAAGAGCGCACACACAGCCTGTGTCTGTGAATGCTTCTCATACTCGCTCCTCTCTGGCCCACGCGGCGCAAATCCCGCATCACAAACGAGCCGTTCATGCTTGCCGCACTCACGCAGCCTGTCTCGTAATGCTCGTTTATACTCGCACCTGGCTCCGCACCGCAAGTCTTCACGAGCGCATCTGGCAGTATGGATGAGACTTGACGCATGTGCGCAACCTGTGTTGACTCGCGCCTGGCTCCGCGTTTAAAACGAATGTAAATTCAGTCTAACTGCTTGTTTAATTTCATCCAAGTGAAATTAACATTCAGCACATTTTCCACTTGCTCTTAAAATCCCAAATCCCCCATAATTGACTTAAGAAATACAGTTCTTTATTTATAAAAAATAAACAAATATTTTCTGTGAAATTCAGTAATTAAGTTAATTCTGTAAAAGTAGTTATACCATTATAATCTTGCCTGCTAAAGAAAAAAACAATAGAACCCCTCCCAAAACACAGTAACAAATTTAATGGATTTCAGGGTTATAATGGGAATTTGTTTGGTTTTAATGTAAACTATAATGGTGTCTATTTGATGGATTCTATTGGTGGGATGTAATCTGGCAGATGGCAACCAATAGAACAACAGTAACTCCTATTGGAATAATGCCCAAAACAAAAAGGAATTTTGTAATGATTTAATGGAAACTATAAGAATTTCTGTGATGGTTTCTATTGTTTTTTTCAGCAGGGTAATGATACCCATACTGTGCTGCACATTATTGACAATATTGAGCTGAAGCTTGACTTCGCAAATTTAAAATCGCAAATCAAATCGCAATATCTGTCAAAAAAAAAAAAATCGCAATTTGATATTTTCCCCCAAATCGCACAGCCCTACATTGAACCCGATCTTTTCAATTCCAATTTGGGCCACTTCCATCTGTGGTACTAGATCAGATTCAGGTCAGATGTTTTGCAATGTGACCGCAGTCTGAACAGTCAAAACGAATTTATGCGACTTTTACGTCATTCTAGATCGACGTTCGTCATAATTCCGTGCTGACGGGAGTCACTGCAAAGATTTTACATAACTGTATTTCTTTGATCACTCAAGTGAATCGTTTTACGGTGTATTACAGAAACGGTGCTATACAAGCTAAACTTACTGGATTTTACAGTAACTATTTAAAAACTTAGCTTTCTTTCTCCTCATCTTCATCCTCCTTATTGCCTGCTTACAAATTCACAGGCTTTCGTGCCACATTAGTTTATAAATGAATGTGTAAACACTTCAGTGACCTCTGTTTACTTCCATATGACAACGCATTTCTTGCCATCATGTTATCGTTCTTTTGCATATGCAGGTCAGTTCAGCACCGTCATTCGTTCACACTGAAATCTGATATTTGCCACATTTAAAACTGATAATGTGAAGAAAAAACGTATCCGAGTATTAAATCGGAATTGAGCACTAATGCTTGTAGTGTGAACGCAGCCTTAGCGGCCCAAATCAGAATCTAAAAAAACAGATTCCAGGTGATTTGTGCTGTTCACATTGTTAAGATCGGAGTCACATAAGTAAAAAAGCAGATTTGGTCCACTTCTGTCTGCAGTCTGAACATAGTCTTTGTGTTTGTGAAGAGAGAGATGTGATTTATGGACTCACAGGAGTGGAGTTTGAAGAGCAGTTTGACGGTGTAGTCGTACAAATGACTGGAGTCCAGAATGACCTGGATAAGAGGGGCCAGACGGCACTGACCGGCTGCTGTCACCGACACAGAGCGAGACATATCCAACGAGCTGAACACTGTGAAGAATAAAAAAAACATCAAGACACTCCCATCATTCCATAGATACCAAAACCCCTTATAGGATAAGTATATTTCTGTCATGTTCTAACACAAAATTATAAACTTTTATAAATTGTATAAACTAATTACTATAAAATATTAATATAAATTGTGCATATAAATAATTGATATAAATTTATATTAACCATTTATAATAATTATAAACTATCATTAATTATTTGTGTAAATATGTTATAATATGCATATATTAATTTACAATAATCCATATCTTATTTTTGGACATTTTGTCTCTTTTATATATATACTAGGGGTGTAACGCTACACGTATTCGTACTGAACTGTTTGGTACGAGGCTTTCGGTTCGGTACGCATTACAAATCGAACGATTCATTGGACTAATCAATCCTATTACATTTGGAAAACAAAAGAGCTTAAAGTGTGAAATATAATGTTCTCAGTGCCACTGTGCTCAACATGACAGCCCAAACGGCATAACAGGCAACATGCTGTCTGCCCAGTGGCGTAGCGCATGGCCCCGTAATAACCTCCCCTTGCTGGTGTGCGTCGAAAGACGACGATCTTGTATCAAGGATAGCCAGAGATATTGTCAAAAACATAAATTATTGGCAATATTAAGAGGATTTGGCATTTCCAATTAATGTGGGCTTGTTACATTCTTATTTTTACTAGGCCTATTATTATTATGAAGTTACTTTTATTATTACATTAAAATTACAATTAATTTGCCCCACAATAATTACTGCATAACTGACGCGCTGCGAGGATAACAAAAGATATTTAGCCTACTCCTCAATTAAAATGTTTTTAAAAACAGTCTTTTAAGGTCTACAATGAATTATATGCCTATAATTAAAATATTAACACTGCAGTCATTGATAATAATCAATTAAAGAAAAAGCTTTTATTCCAAGCACCGACTTTAAAAAAAAACAACCTGTTTAACACTAAATATGTTTCTTCTCATTTTTTTTTCCACTATGTACGGGCCACAAGAGAAATATTAAGGGAAAAAAATTAAAATAGTTAGCTATACCGTTATCAGCATATGTTGAAGTAGATTTGTCTCTGAGAGAGAATGCGGTGTCAGATGCCGAAAGCTCCGTCATTACTCATTACGTCAGTCCGTTTTTACTTTCACTTTCTGCATATAGTGAATTGACTGCGATTAAGATGTAACTCTTGCGCAAAGTTTGCATGTTGCCTGTGTGATATCCATTGGCTCGCCTTCATAAAACAGGAATATTTTGTTTCCATTTCATTGCAACATAACCAATTAGCCCCGTACCGAATATACTGAACTGATCCGCGACACCACATACATATATATTTAAACATATGTTTGACATGCTCAATTGAAAGCCTCAATTCTCAATTGGCAAGTTGTATTCCTTTATTGTATGAATCCCTCTTTCACGCCATTCCCTTCAACATGCTGTTTTTCTCAATCTATCCCTCTCACTGCCCACTTCCTCATTCACATTCATCCCCACACTCCCTCCCTCCCTCCATCCATCCGTCTCTCTGGTGATCAGTGATGCAGGCTCCTGTGAGACCCCGTCTTCTCAGCACACAGAGAGGTGTGGTTTCCTGTGCCAGGGAGCGGCGTTTCAGCCAACAACACTCACATTAACTTCTCCCTAATGCTTCCAGCACAGGCACACTGAGACCTATCAGTGTTCCAGCTAGATTTTACTGCCTGTTTCAGCAGAAACGTCTATCCCGATAGAGATGTCACCTGTTTTTTACTTTAGAATGCACATTAGCTATTCTTTACTGTGAGATTTTTTTCAGAGATTCCAGTCTTTCTCTATTCAAGTAGATTAAAGCTGTATTTGTCTGCCTACAATCTACTTAGAAAACGGCATAACTAAAATGACCGCCAAGGACTCTTCTGGTGCTCAAACACCTGCATGTCACTTTAAACTTACCACCTAAGAAAAGGTTCAGCTCACACTCCAAGTAATCAAACATCTCCACCGTCAACTGGAAGCTACATGTTTTGAGACGAGAGGAAACATGATTAAGTCCCATCCCACAAACACAGAGCAATTATAGAACTTTATTTAATAAAACCGACTGAAAAGAAACACAAAGCTTGTGAGAAACAAAGCAATACTCACAAATTATTGACGTCGTTCTCACCCGCCTCATCAAGCTGGCTGTTTGACATCTGAAGGTTGCCTGGGAAACGGGGATTCTGGGAAAGCAAGAGGGGTAAATCTTATATTTGTGAGAGTCTGACAGCACAGCCTTTTAAAATACTCATGAAATGGCTCATGAAATGGCAAATGCAAATGTCTTTCCTGTATTGACACATTTCATATTGACGCAGGAAGCAGTGTCAAAACGTATCAAAAAGCTTGTCTGGGTTTAAAAAAAAAATAAAATCTAGGCAGGAGGGCAATATTGCAAGACATTCTGCCAAACCATGATTATCTACAAAGAATACACAAAAAGAAATAACAATTATTTTATTATTTATACTTATGTTCATATATATATATATATATATATATATATATATATATATATATAGCCACTGCATCAGGGCTGCTCAATTAATGGAAAGAAATACGAAATTGCAATATGGTTTAGTGCGATTATCAAATTGCAAAGGCTGCGATTTAATTAAAAATATATATAGACCGTGTTTCAGAAAGTGCAGCACTGTGGGGTTTTTTTGTTTGTTTGTTTTTTTTTACACGTGAGCAGCTCATGATCCAATGTTTCAGTATCTGAGATCAGCTCACTTTACAGTAAATACTGCACCATATAATCTAATTTGTGTATCTGCTCTGAGTTTGGAATGATTATAACATGCATTTGGAAACTTAAAATGTGACCCTGGACCACAAAACCAGTCATAAGGGTCAATTTTTTTATTTATACATCACTGAAAGCTGAATAAATAAACTTTCCATTGATGTATGGTTTGTTAGGATAGGACAATATTTGGCTAAGATACAACTATTTGAAAATCTGGAATCTGAGGGTACAAAACAAATCAAAATACTGAGAAAATCGCCTTTAAAGTTGTCCAAATGAAGTAGCAATGCATATTACTAATCAACAATTAAGTTTTGATATATTTACGGTAAGAAATTTACAAAATATCTTCATGGAACATGATCTTTAATTAATATCCTAATGATTTTTGGCATAAAAGAAAAATCAATAATTTTGACACATACAATGTTTTTTTTGGCTATTGCTAAAAACATACCCAAGCGACTTAAGACTGGTGCTTTGCACTTTGTGCTCCAGGGTCACAAATGTGCCAACCATCTTCCCAAACTTGGAAAAATGAGAAGCAACTATTGTAATACTAATAAGACTAATAATAAACCGACTACTGTCAAAAAAAGACTAGCTTAAAGGACTTCCTGTGATTCTCCACCAAAATAAAAGTTTGAAGGTATAACTTTTGGAAAGTTTCCAGCCTCTGTTGCCTCCATATATGAGGACACAAACACATAATCTCAAGAACTGCTCTGAGAATTACTTCACGAGCATTTTGCAGTTTCTTTAAAAAAAAAAAAATAATTTTTAAAAAAATTAAAAAGATTGTCATATCATATACAAACAGAAACTTTAAGGTCTTCACAGCAAATACAAGTTCGGTTTAACTTGAAGAAACTGTGACAGAAAAGTGTAAATAAAACTATTTCTGAAAAAAAATAAAATCATTTTTATGAAAATTAATTAGATGATTTTGATTGTTTAAATTTAATGAAACATTAAAATGTAATCCAAAAAATTTATGGAAAACACAGATTTTGGTCAAAATAAAACTACATCTGAGAAGAAAATAAAACATTTCATAGGGCCTTAATAATTTAATTTTTGTTAAACTTAATAAATTGATGTTAAATTGTGTAAGTTTCATTATTTCAATTAATTAGACATGCTTTTTGATTAATATTTTTAACTATTAAAATGGAGTCTAGAAAAATTTAAATGGAAAAAAATGAATAATAAAAAAAAAAAAAAGGATTTCATAGGCCCCTAGACATATTACAATAACAATATTTCTTATTCGTTTCATATTTTTAGTAACAACATCAACTATTGTTATTATTATCATCATTATCCTCATACTGATACAAATATTCAGCTAAATAATAATCAAGCACAGCAAACATGAAGGTTTTTTCAATGTTTATCAGAAGAAAAAAAAACAATAACATTTTCTCCCCATATCTGTAATGTAAAGGCTGCAGATTTTGTGCATAAACACCCATTTATGCAACGTAAGAAAAACTATTTAAATTTTTACATTTTATATTGTATTTAATGAAGATAAAAAAAAATTCTGGAATATGTTGTGAGAAAAATAAATGAATTAAATGGAGAGCCAGATATCAACTAACCAAGAGATTGAGAGAAAGTGAGAGTGAGGTGGAATTAGACGTGTAAGAGATAATACGGCTGTATGTACTCACGTTTGGATGGCCGTCCCTCAGCAGCTTGTGGAAGACGTGGCAAAATTTCCAGCAGAGCACTGCATTGCTGGAAAGGGGCAGGCGGTTGACAGCAAGCCAGAATGTGTGAGCCCCCTTCTCATGATGCGTGCCCAATATGCACGGTGAAGATGCCAGTCAAGGACAAAACTGAGGGGTGTGCTTCTCTGACATGTCAGCATCTTTAACCAGATACTCTAGATACCTGATCCAGTCTTCTGGAAGAAAGACTAACCAAACTGCATCGTACAAATGAATAATAAGTACTGGAGCAAAGAAACACTGATGTGCAGGTACATGGAGTTACACATACACTATATGGACAAAAGTATTTGGACACCCCCTTCTAATTAACAGATTTGACTACTTTAGTAATTTCCATGAGTACAAATCTTAATGTTTAAACATATAATGACATTCTAGGGAATTGTGTGCTTCTAATTTTATAGCAACAGTTTGGACAGGACACTTTTCTATTCTAACATGACAATGCCTCTGTGGATAAGGCAAGGTTCAAAAAGAAATGATTGATTGAGTCAGTGTGGAAGAACTTAACTGGTCTGCAGAAACTCAGCTGAACACCTCTGGTGTGACTTTAAATGCAGACCTTGAGCCAAAAACTCATGGAAATTACTAAAGTAGTCAAACCTGTTCATTAGAAGGGGGTGTCTTAATACTTTTGTCCATATAGTGTATGTTTATCTAAAAATGAACTGGGTATCTAATATATAAACCAGATAGCCAATACACGATACAATTATTTGCAAATATTATGATACAATTAAATTTATACAATAATACAAGCACAGTTATTGGCAGAGGCTATTGTGTTTTCCATTCAGTCTCCCAAAATGTTTCACCGCCATGCCCGACGGGCTATCTTGAACAGTGATATAAAATTCCTTCCTTGATTTGCGTTGTTCACTAGCTTGTAGGGCTAAAATGGATCGTAGTTGATCATTTGCACGTGTTTCTAAGTCTTGAGGATTTAAACATTCAAGTGTTTTAAACCATTCACGTGCATTCGGAGCTGCATGCACTCATTCAAAGCGTGCACAGAGAACCGCGTTTCAGACAATGCGCGTACACAGAATTGATTCCTCTTTCGCGTATCCTTGCATCTGAATGAACACATACACACAAAATTATCTCAAAATAACTGTCTCGGCAAGTATTCTTCTAAACACAGTCGGTTATGTCTTAAGTGAACAAACAGTGGTGAAAGAAATCTCAAGTGCATCATTATATTGGATCCGTGCATTCGGTCTTAAAGGGGCAGCAGCCTATAAATACCTGCTGTTCCATAAACGCCACCTGCTGTCAGAGAGTGGCATTTGCATCTCATTCACAAAGCTGAAATCAGACCATTCTGTTTTTGCATCAAATTTCGAAATTATACAATCTAATTGCAATCTAAATAACATGTATTTTGCATCTTTGTTTGGATCGTGATTAAAATGCAGTGGTTGCCTCTGTTTTTAAATGGAAAAAGCACAGCCAAATCCTTAGTTTGTTTATATGAGGAGATTTGTTTTATTTGTATTATTTTATTAGGGATTTGTTTTAAAAGTTAGATTTATTATTTGACATATCAATTTCACAAAGAAATGTGCAGCATTTTGTTGGGAGAAATAATAAAAGGACACCTTTTCATTTATAAGTTGTCTTAAATCTCATTTTGTTAAAAATAAAAATTGTGAGAAAATTGTACTGTGAAATCAGTATCGTGAATCGTATCGCATCGTGAGTTGAGTGACTCGTTATATCCCTATATGCTACTAGTTTTTGCTGTGGTATCAAAGAAGAATTCTGCTATTTAGATAATAAAGAACCATATTTTTTTTGCTCATCTGCAAAATGACCCGATCTGTTACTCAAAATCTGATATGATAATGCAATATGATCCGAGCCATGGGTTTTGTGATTCGTTGCACCCCTACTCGCTTGATTTTTTATTTGAAGAAAAAAAAAAGTGATCACTGAAGTTTTTAATCATGCTGATTTGTCCGCAGTGAAGTTCAGCCGATGTCTTTTTTTTTTTTTTATTCGGGCTATTTAAATTAATTTTGGGATACCCAAATCTGAAGAATGTCTGCCTGAAGGGCTACCAGCGACTTTGAAATTTTGCGAGCCCTGTATGGTCTGATGCTGATTAAGTCACCGTGGCCAAATATTGGCATGTCTAGTATTGGTATGTACATAACATAACAACATAACATAACATAACAAATAAACATAAAGTTCAAGTTTAAAGGCTCGTTTATAAAATAAATACCCCATATTACTCTCATACCTCTGAATAAAATAATCACATAAAATAAAATTAATAAATTCCTAAAACAACTTTAAAAGTTCTGCAAGTTTATAAAATAAAATACCCCCAGATCAGATTCTTTAAAATAAAATAAATTAAAGTAAACAAAAAATAAAAGCAAATTTAAAAGCTCTTCAAGTTTAAAATATTGGCAGGTGAATTGGTCTGTAAATATTATAAAATAATATTCCAATTCCAAATACATTATTCCAAATAAATAATAAAATAAAATAAATATAAATATATTTTCTTTCCCAAAAGTAGGGCACTCAATGACCAATATATATTGAAACTACGGTTCCCTATCGAAAGGTAACTCCCGTTGCGTCGTCATTTGACCATTGCTTGGGGAAACTCCTCTTCACTCTATTACTGAAGCCTGATTGGTTAACATTTGTGTAGCTGCACAAACCATTGGCGCTCGAGCCCGCCGGAAGGGGCGGAGCCGACCGCTATATAAGTCGGCTCGGAACGCCATCTCATCAGAATCTTCTCCTTCAGAGAGACCATCTCTTCGCTGACTCTGCAATCAAGAAGCCGAAAAGGGAAGACGCTCAGCCTGCGGCTCACCGCCGCAGAAGAGCCCTGGCAGTGGAAGAAGCGAGAAGCCTTCCTCTGTGGCTATCTGGCTAGTAAGAGCAATTTTTCTGCAACGTTGTTGCAAATGTCGCACCGTGAGTGTGCCTCGTGCGGGGAATCCCTGCACGATACAGAGGGGCAGTGAGTGTGTCACCTGTCTGGGCAGCGCCCATGCAGAGACTGTGCACTCACTGAGATGGAATGCTCTCACAGAGAGCACGAGTCTCACTCTTCTCCGCTCGCGAATCGCCTTCTTAAATGAAGGCAGCCCCGGCTCTCCTGTTTCTCCTCTCTAAGCGAGCTCAGAGAAAGAAACGGTGCAGTCATGGAGCTGAGCAACCGGGTTTGAAACGATCTCACGCTGGCAAGAGCCCGCGTGCTCATTCTCCCCCGGCACTTTGATCTGCCGGTGTGTGCTTTACACGTGAGATTGCACCCCTCTTACATCGAGCAGCTCAATCCCTCTAGGTGGATCAGAGTAGAATGCTGTCACCAATGATTCAGATCACTGACAGCTCGCATTTGTGTGTGCGTCGCTGAGCATAGACGAAAGCACGAGTTTATCCCTGCTTCGCTCGCGGATCCCCTTCTTCAATGAAGATGGCCCCGCCTCCCCTGCTCTCGTGTTTCTCCCCTACCAGTTACCTCGGAGAAGAAACGGCGAACTCGTGAGTTTGAGCGATCAGACTTGAGTGATTTTACGCTGGCGCAGGTCCCACGTGTTTCACTCTCACTGCAGCACTTTGATCTGCCAGTGTGTTTTACACGTGAGGATCAGCATCCCTCGCTTACATTGAGTAAGGCCTGGGCCATGCCCACACTGAGGCTGCGCTCACCGAGACAGATCTCTCGCTATGAGAGTGTGTCTCGATCTGCTGCGGTCGCGGTTTGCCTTCTTCAATGAAGTGCGGCCCTGGCCCCTCCTGCTCAAGTTCTCCCCTCCCAGCTGTCTCGGAGGATGAAACCGTAAAGTTACAGGGCTGAGCAACTGGGCTTGAGTGATCACACGCCGGCACAGCGCCCATGCTGCCGCTCTGCTTTCGACCCTGGCATCAGTCAAGCAAGTAGGGGACTTGCAAGCCCTGTCTGTCAGTGCTTCCTGTCTTGAGTTTGGACCCAACGACTGTAAAGTCGTTCTTCAACCACGCAGCGGTTATGATGGTTTCCACGAGAATTGAGGTAAATCTCGGGTCCAATAAAGGGATTTAGCCCTCCCTGGAACGGATGGCAAACAAGGTCCCAACTTGGTATGCCCTGTCCGGTCGAGTTTACAGTAAGCGCTCAGATTCTTTCAGACAATCAGAGCAGCTTTTTGTGTGCTTTGGAGGTCGCTCTAAAAGGCTGCCTGTTACAGAGTAAAGACTATTTGTATCTTTTTTTATATATAAGTATTTATAAGCATCTCATTTGATAGTAGATGCTATAGCTCTCGCTTATGCCTCAGCTGGCTTACAACACCCTTTAGGTGCGAGGGCCCATTCCACCAGAGGAATGGCCTCCTCTTGGGCCTGGTCCAGTAGAATCTCTATTGGGGAGACTACCTTTATTAGATTCTACAACTTGGACATCCCTGCCCTGCAGGCGTGGGTCTTATCCATCTAATGCTCGGGTGGGGAGACTTATCTCAAGTAGACCTCAGAACATTCTCGGGTCTTTTTGTGGCTCAGGCTTATGAATCCCTCGCTGAGTGTTCCTGGGCTGAGCTCGCGGAGCAGGCTAAGTTCTGCATCTGCTTATAGCACGGCGCAATTGGATACGTTCCCCAAGCAACGGGAGTTACCTTTCGATATGGAATGCTTCGGTTAATCACGTAACCTTGGTTCCCTGAGATAAGATGGCGCTATCTTTAATACTTATAAGATGGCGGCTCGGTGTTTTCGTGTTTTTTGTCTTGAGTCGCAGTGTTTTTGTACATATTCGTTGCGTCTATTTGTTTCTAAGGAGTCTCCAGGCCAGGACCAGCAGACTGAAGGACAGCTTCATCCATCAGGCTGTCAGGAAGCTGAACTCCCTCCTGACCTTGCCCCCCCTCCCCTCTTTTGCCCCACGCACCACTGAACTCTGACCCTCTGACGGACTCTCCCACTCCCCCCTCCCTAATACACACACACACTGTCACTTTAATCAATCAGTCTGAATAAGCTCTTTTGCACTACAAATCAATTTTGTGCACTACAATCATTATATCTGCACTGTTGTTTACTTTACTGGTTTTGCACTCTATCTGCCATATGCCTTGTGCTTTATATATATATATTTTTTACATTCTACCTTATTTGTATATTTGTATAGTTGTATTTTGTATTTAATCTGTATCTATCTGTATTTATGTTCTACTGTAGTGTTATCTGTATGCACCAAGGGTCTGAGAGTAACGCAATTTCAATCCTCTGTGTGTATGTGCTGTACATGTGGAAGAATTGACAAAGCAGATTTTACTTGATAAGGGAATGAGTGTTGCATAACTGGCCGTGCTATAGCTGCACACAAATCGATAGCTGTCGCTTCAGTCGTATGATTCTGATGAGATGGTGCTCCGAGCCGACTTATATATAACGGTTGGCTCCGCCCCTTCTGGCAGGCTCAAGCACCTTTGGTTTGTGCAGCTACACAAACGTTAACCAATCATGCTTCAGTAATAGAGTAAACAGGAGTTTCCCCAAGCAGTCGTCAAATGACGACGCAACGCTCGTTCCCTTATCTCAGGGAACCGAGGTTACGCGAGTAACCGGAGGGTTATTTGGTTATTTAGTGATGCCGATGTCAACGAGTAGATCTGAATTTTGACTATTTTGAGAATATTGGCAGATGCCGTATGCTTATTCATCATAAAATAAACATCATAATTCTAATTTAAACCTCACATTCCTTCATAGTTCTCTTTAAGGGCAACACAAAAAAAAGGATATTCCTGGCATGCTTCTCTTTGACAGCAATCTCCTGTGTGTTGATGGCTTTGTTGATGCTCACTGCCTGTAGAAGAGAAAGAGAGAACGTTCAAATTAATTTTTGGGGCCTTTCCTTCAGCGAGGTTAAAGATTAAAAACCAGCTCATGGCAGAAGAGTCTTTCTGTGTGCTGGGGCAAACAGTGAGTTTTAGTGTTTCACTAGAGCCTTATTGAGCAACTTTAACCACCGCTGCGCAACAGCCACTGAATACTAATGAAATTGAGCTCAAGGAGTGTTTGACAGGCAGCATGACCTAAAACACTATTACCGCTTGGGCTACATCCTCCTAATAGTTTGACTCATCTCTCAACTATATCCATACTGACAACGTCGAGAGCTCTGATGCAGAACTAACTTGTGAGAGATATTGAAAAAGCATTAGCCATATGTTTTCTTTCCTATTCCTTTCACAGATGCCAAATTGCCATCAGTTCTAGGTACCTTCACAACTAAAACAGTGTTCCTGTTTAAACAAGCAACACATTTTCGGCATGGCCAGCTGAACGTAATGAACCCTTATCGGCCCATCAGATAATGCACATGGTTGCATGAGCCAATTAAGGTGTGGCAGGGCAGTCGAGTCTCTCGGTCATGCTTCCTCTACAATGGCTAAAACTCCTTTTATTTAGAGAAACAAAACCCTTTAGTTCTAAAACAACAGTTATAAAACATTGCTAGGAAATACTAGTGTATTTCTGATGCAAAAGCTGCCCAAAAATATGTTTTTGGACAAATTTTACTCACACTGCATCTATGTGAAACAGAGCAGGCCCATGATTACATGCTCATGTGACGTTGCTGTGCTATATGGTCATGAAAACTATCGTTTGCATGCATTTTTTAGCACTGCGGTTTAAAAACAAGTAATTTTAAGCCATTGAAACTTATTCAGCAGCAAAAAAAACCTCATTCGCTATATGCACACGCTGTCAGAGAAATGCGCGCATGTGAAGGCAGTGCTCATAGAGCGCTGGATTATTAATATTATATGCCGCTTTATAGGCTGCACACATTTGTAAATGTCAAAATGCCCATCTTTACAAATATCCTTGTAAGCACAGTAATTTAGGTCTTAAGTAAAAGCAAACAGCTGAGAAAGAAAACACATGTGTAAGAGTATATTGGATCCGGGCAGCTCTTAAAGTGACAGTAGTCTAATATTCCTGTAGTCTGTCATTCATGTTAATCTAACAAGAGAAAAAAAATCTCACTGATCTCGATTTAATCATGTTTGTAACTTTAATGAGAAGAAATTTAATTTACACAGTGAAGAATATGCAGTGTTTTTATACATTTGATTACTTTATACAATATATACAGCATTTCTTATTTATTTGTTCTACTGCAGTTTTTTTGTCCTATTGCTTGTTTTTTATTCTTATTTAATCACTGACTGTTTACTTGTCTTCAGTGAGCTTGAGTTTTTGCATCACAGGAATAAATTAAATTAAAAATATACTGGAAAAAAAAGTCATTTTAAATCCTAATAATATTTCACAATATTACTGTTTTTAGTATTAAAACACTAAAATATTACTGAATTTGGAACGGTAGTGCAAACTTTGAAAATACTTCACTCTGGACCAAAAATAAATCTAAATAAAAAACTAAATTTTGTTGAGGAGGTTGGCAGAAATTCTGGCAAGGATGCTGAGAGAATGCTGTTGAAGTGTGTAGTTCAGTCTTCATCCCTGTGCTGGCTTCTGCTGCCAGACACACTGTTAAAGGTGATAAGGCATGGCTTTGTGTAGACAAGGTGGATCTGTTGGATGAGCATCTCATTAAGTCGCAGCTGTGATCTCAAATACAATAAGGATGAAGAAAGGACAGCAGATTGGAAAAATCCATCCAGGTTTCTTATAGACCAACCCAACAGAATGTTTTAGGCAATGCTCTAATACTAAAAACAATACCTTGACTTGAGAAGTGGGTTTCTTCCATCCCTCTCCAACAACCAATAATGCATTCAGAGCTGATAAGCATATGACTAAAACCGTCCATGAGCCATAAAGTCTATAAAAAGTGAATCAGTAAAAAAAGTGTCAATACATTTGCATAATGAAATTAAGACCTTTAAAAACACACAGCTAAGGCGTCTAAGAGATTGTGACGCTGGTGTGAGGAAATGTGTGACCTAATTTGTCCACACTAAGATTTTGTCGTCTATGTGAATGAGTTGTGCCAGCTGACCAGGCCTTTTGGCACTGGCGAGTGAATTTACTGGCATCCCGGCCCATTATCTCTCTCACAGGCACAGGCAAATGATAAGATGAAGTGATAACCACTTATTAAAGTAAGAAGAGAGAAATAAATTGGGAAAGATTACAAGCAGAGATGAGCATAATGTCATCACATACTTAACCCTGTAAAGCCTGACCTATCAAATAATACAGAATTTAAAGGGGTCATATGACGTTGCTAAAAAGAACATTATGTTGTGTATTTTGGTGTAATGCAATGTGTTCATGCGGTTTAAGGTTCAAAAAACACATTATTTTCCACATACTGTACATTGAAACGCGTCGATTTTTTACAAAGCTCATCGTTCTGAAAAGCGAGGTGTATGCTGATTTGCCAGATGCGCTGAAGACATTCAAAGCAAGGGCCTCTACACTTCCTACTAATTTCTGACTGCTGCAACCTTCAGAAATTGTAGTTGTAATCTTTCTTCGTGCTGCAATCATTGCTGTTCTCTAAGTCTGATCACTGTGTTTTCCACAAAATGAAGGGGTTTTGTAAACACTGTTCTACTAGCATGGTATAGCCACAACTAAAATTTCTTTTTTGAACGATGAAGACTACATTATTTATGAATAAATCAAATGTTCATAGATTGTTCTTTAATTTTGATTTCCACTAATAGATATAAAATGCTTAGATTTATGATCAAAGCTCTGTAGTTTTTATTGTGGGAGCAAAACATAGCACAATATTTTTTTTCATATTTTTTATGTTCATCTTGAAATAGGCCTATATTAAAACATAAAAGTTATTCTTAGATTTACAATAAGTAAATATTTCACAGCATAAAGACATGTCCCACGACCTGAAGAGGAACGTAAAAGGCCTTTTACTT